CCAGAATAAAGGAAGAACGCCCCCCACAAAAGAGCATGCATTCAGCATAGCGTCCGTGGCCACAAAATGGACATATAGTGTCCGGATGAGGAGGGTGTCTGCAGTCAGGAACGGAGGGACAATCCTCTACACACATGGATGCAGAAACCATCTCATGGTAGTGATTGTGACAAAGATGATGGCRAGTACACCCAAGTGCAACAGTGTCTGTGGCTGTACAAAGGAGAAGGTCACATAGTGTGTGTACATTGTACTGCTGCACTGCGGTGGCAGAGGAATGATCTTCGACATAAAGGAGATTGCGGACAGTTTGATGTGGCAAGAGAACAGCATCATAGAGTAAGAACTCAGTAATATCAATTATGGCATTGACCATGACACCGTCGTTCCACACCTCCCAATGGTCAGAGGCGTGTACAATAGCCATGTATATATATATATATATATATATATATCGTCAAATAGAATATAGGCGTTTTTTTGGCCGGCCCGGTTTACCTGGGTGCCCCCCCCGGGCCCAACCGGTCGGGCAGGCCCGGCCTGGCGGCGTCCTCACTCAGAAAAAGGACCATTTCAGACATTTCTCAATGTATGAGTGTCATGGTTGTGCAGGGGCCATGCTAATCTTTTTTGTATCGTTCCAATTTTAACGGATGTCCTGAAGGACACGCTCCCCGCTCCCCTCCCAGGAGTTCTAAAGGAATAAAGCTCAATAAACTTTGCAATTTTATCCAAGTTTTACATTTGAGTAAGACTCCTGACAGTTCGAGTTTTATATTCGAGTAAGACTCCCGACAGTTCGAGTTTCATATTTAAGTAAGGCTCCTGACCAGACTAGCACTATCTTACATGTATCTGACCACATCTACGGCCGGACTTGGATGTATCTGGCCACGGTTTCATCCTCAATTAAGTAACGAAGTCGTAGTGTGAGCACGCCCTCAAGAGCCATATCCTGTTGTAAACGATAATACCAAGGGTTGTTTCCTGCCTTATGGTTTTTGAGTGTTGACGGATGGGCTGAAGTTTTTGACAAAACAATGGACACAATCGAAACCTTGGAAAACTATGTAGCATGCACTACAAGTCTACAAGTATGTTCTATTTAGTATTTAGCACGTACCACAAGTATATACTATGTAGTATGCACTATAAGTATGTACTATGTAGTATGCAGTACTATGCACTACAAGCATGTACTATGTAGTATGCACTACAAGTATATACTATGTAGTATGCACTACAAGTATATACTATGTAGTATGCACTACAAAAATATCCTATGTAGTATGCACTACAAGTATGTATTGTGTAGTATGCACTACAAGTATGGACTATGTACTATGTACTATGTACTATACCTATGTACTATGTACTATACTATGTACTATGTACTATGTACTATACCTATGTACTATGTACTATACT